GCAGTGTAGTAATTTTTAACTAATAGTTGGGTTAAAATCACAACCCAGCATGCTGGGTTAAACTTGTAACCCAACTTGCTGGGTTAAAGTAACCCAGCGTTGGGTTTGTCCCTTTTTTACCCAGCGCTGGGTTACCAAAACAACCCAAATTGGGTTGTTTTCAACCCAGCAGTTTTTAGAGTGTACGTGAGGTAGCTATGCACTAGTTTTATATTAGTTTATATTGGTTACGTGGCGGACATTGCGCTCTCTCTCTTTCGTTAACCTGCTTGAATATCTGTGCTATATGACAGTATAAAAGCTGTTTAAGTCCTCGTGTGTGTGAGATTTAAGGTTTGGGACTCTGCTGAAGTCTGTTCTGAAAAGAAAGAGTCAGAATAGACATCATTCGCGGTTTTTAATAACGCGCGACTTGCATTGACAGGTGAAAATCCGATCTACCTGCTTACACTGCAGACACGAGAACATCCGATTCATATCGGATAAATTTCCAAATATAAACAAGGCCAGAATCAGAATCCATGTGATTTGTTCCTGCTTACATGTACATGGGCCATATACGATCTGTGCCACATGGAAAAAAAACGGAATTGAATCACTTGAACAGTGCAGTGTAAATGCAGCCTAAATGGTTATAAGAGACACATTTAAGAGATTATATGCAGCATCCTTCATTTATTCTTTTAAAAAAGGAGAAAGCTCCACTTAAGTATCGTACTTAGAGGGAAAATGTGCTTTATGCAATGTTGAAGTTATATAAACCTTGAAGCATAAGAATCGGTATTCGAGATCAGCCATGACGCGGAATCAGTACTCTGTATCAGCTCCAAAAATCCTGTCCCCTATATATTATATACAAAAACATGTTGAAAAAAGGTTTTACATTTAGAGTTTTACTTGTTTTGACACACTAAAATATATCGCTAAGAAATAATTAAATTTTATTTTTAGAAAAAATTAATTAATTAATTAATTAATTAATTAATTAATTAATTTATTTATTTATTTATTTATTTATTTATTTATTTATTTATTTATTTTTTTTTTTGGACACCGACCAGCCATAGAAATAATCATTAGTGTTAAGTCCTGTTTAAGTCTAAAATCTAATTCATAATGGTCTTAAAAAGCCTTAAATTTGACTTGATTAAACCTGCAGAAACCCTGACTTTGAACTGCACAAACAAACTTTGAACTGTAAATGTATTTGTATCAGTGTGTGTGTGAAATGTAACATTTTAACAACATATTTTGAATGCTACTGAAAACAGATTCTTATCCTCACTAAGGCATTTTTTTTTGTCAGATCAGTAATATTAAATATTTTTGCATTTCTATCTGTTTTTAATATGAAATATCACACTTTTTCAAAGCTGAATTTTCACAATCCTTTCAATTATCCTCTGATCTAATCTAATGTGCTGGCTTAAATTTGTATTAACATTCTATTTATTATTTGATGAATAGTATTTTAAAATTTGAAGAATGTTTAAAACATTGTTGGTTTAATGTCTTTTGCCAAAGAAAGGTATTTAGTTCATCTTTCTTTTAAACCATAGTGTTCACCATATTACTGTAGTGAAATTCTTTGCAATGCCATTCCCTGATCATTTTGACTAGCTGTGATGTACTTGTAATAAAAAGGAGGTTGATGTTTATATGAAGCTTTTTCTGTAGACACAGATGCAGGGTTGCTGAACTGTGAAAACACAGTAAGTGCCTGAGGCTTTGTTCTAATGCAGCAAAATAGTTGCTTTGATTGTTTATCCTCAGTTCCACAGCAAAAAAGAATAAAAAATGCTTGCCCCGCATGTGTGCAGAAATATAAGTGAAGAAATACAATAATGCCACAGCTGCTGATGTGATCATGAGTTCAGTATGTTGTTGTCATGAGCATGTCACATCGCACGAATCCAAAATTTCCAGTTTTCCCTCATTTTTTTCTGCTGTAATAGCTGCTCTCGTCTAAGCAAATGTTATGATGGCCTAATTTACTTGTATATATTGTCTGATCACTTGAAAAACAGTATAAAACAAGTCCGTTTTTGTAAAGTTAGTTTTAGTTGGCAATGGCATTACAAAATACTTATGATGTCACATTGTGAGGCTTTTGCTTGTAATTTTTACAAGACTAAAATAAGAAGTGATGTAAGAAGAGAAGTGATTACAAGAGAAAGAACTGGGAAGATACAGCAGGCGCATTGGCTAAACAATTTCTGAAGGGTACAAGGAAACGATTAAAGAACATTTCACTGGGCCCATACAGAAGCACTGTAAACATAAGGAGAGACGTTTTGTATGCCATCAAAATGTTATGCGTGAGTGTAAGCTGTGAGGCAGCATGTCAGGTAAATATAACGTCTGACATGAAAGTCAAGCTGGTCATGTTCCTTTAAAACAACAAATTAAAGTAGCACAACATTTCTTATTTTGACGAAAAGTCTTTAAATGTGTAAATATACATTTATGTAAAGAGGAAAGAAACGGGTCACTGCTAAAGACGATGAGATAAAATGTGTGCCGTGGCTAAACCAGTTGGAAAGAACTGCACTAAACTATATTTTAAAGACATCTTTGAGCACAAGTGTTAAAGCTCACTTGAAGCCCATCAGCAGTAATGTTTGTGTCTATTAACTATAACAGAGTTATCAAAAGGGGTGAGGTCTTGGGTTATGTGTGTGTTTGTTTTGGTGCTTTCAAGTAGGGCTGCACGAAATTGGAAATATTGTGATGTTTTATTTTTCTGCGATTAAATATTGCAATATTGTACCATTTCAAAAGATAGTTTGAATTTCTTAGATATTCAGGTGCAGAAATTGAATAATTAAAATGCAAAAAAATAGTTTGTTGTCTTGTTTCTTGTCCAAATATCTAAAAATTCTAAGATAAAAAGCTAAAAATATTGTTTTGTTTTCAACTTCAGAAGAAATAGAGCAAAATTAAGAGTTTTTCCTTAAAACAAGCTCAATGATCCGTCTGTGGTATGAGCAAAATAATCTTGTTTTTGCTTTTGAAATGTACTTAATGTATTTGAAGTAGAATTTTTTTTTTTGTATATAAAATTCTGTAATTACTGTATTAAATACAAGTATTTAGCTCCTGGTTAACTATAATTCAGACTCAACATTGCATATCTTGCAATGTGACTATTACGCATTCGTACATTGTGATATCGATGCTGAAACTATATATTGTGCAGCCCTATTTTCAAGTGTAAACATAATTTTGCAAAACCCACTGTCTTAGTGCACCTTTAAGTAGGGCTGGCCAATTTGAGCTAAAATCTAAATCTCGATTAATTGAAGATTTTAACTCTATTATGATTATTGAAAGAATTTTTTTTTGTTTAATTTTTTGCCCTCATAGTTCACTGACAGGTTGTGGATTGTGCTGTACAGTAAATATGCTCACATATTACAAGTGAGAGAATTTTGAATGAAGGGTGCATTACTTGGTAACATGCGCAATCCACTATCTATGAGTATTTGTTTAACATTGAGTGTTGAATATTTAAAACTAAAACACACATTGCCTAAAACCAACAGTCGCGTTTTTCTTATAAATAATCTTCACTTTTAGAAACAAAATTTATTATTTTCCATGTTTTTCAAATAAAAATTGAAAATAAGCAGCATCTCTTCTAAATAAAAGAACTCTTGTACATCCTGTAAATAATATTGTAAACAGTGTATTTTTTGAATCTTTTGTAAACAAAGATTTACAAAAGTAAATAGTTATTTTTTCGTAATGGTAAATATGCCGTCTCTGGCGCAGCTTCCAATCATCGTCAATGTAGTGCCAAAGTGCGACGGGTAGTTACATTTTTTAGAGTTGCGTTCGATGTAGAAGTATATTGTAGCCTTAACAGAGCAGAGTCACGTGACTCCACACACGGTAGGAAAAGTAATTGAAAAAATTTAACTGGATTATAGTTTCTGAATGAATACTTAATTGTTAAGCCCTACCTTTAAGCTTAACCTTAAAATTACACTTTTTGTGCCATGTCCACACTAGTAAGTTTTTGTTTAAAATACGAAGGAAAATGATTTTTTTGTCTCTACGTTTTGGCCTTATGTCAACAGAGACAGCGTTTTTCGAAAATGAAAAAGTATATATTTGAAAACACTGTTCAAAGTGAATAAATTTGAAAACGGCGTCTTCGTGTTGCAGTGTGGACTGTGAAAACGGAGGCTTTCGAAAATGATTACACATTTTAGTCATGTGACCAATTTAGCTAACATTAAGGATGACATTGCAAAGATGTTTTAGATGCTGTTTTTGGTTTTGACAGCCATATTTAAGATTAATATCAGTTTGTACATGCTCCATATTGCCTCTCTTCAAAGGACACAACGATTGTTTGGCGGCAGAATCAGACGACAGTTGTGACATTTTGCTGCAATGTTTCAAAGAGACAGAAAGTAAATAAACGGCAGACTGATATGAAGCAGGTAAAATCAAAGCAGTACGTAAATAAAAGCATTTTCGGACAATTTAGTGTGGGTGACGTAGGGCTGAGCGATTAATCGAAAAGTAATTGAAATCAATATTCAGAACCTATAATCCTTATTTAAAATTTTCCTGGACAATTTTTTCAATTACCTTCCCTACTTGTCACGTAAGCCTGCACTGTTATAGGCTGTGGCTGATTTCTACTTCTGCGGCCACTGCAGCCACATCTGATCTGGTCAAGCAGGACTCTTGAGTACTTTGCACTACATTGACGATGATTGGAAGCTGTGCCAGAGATGCCTTTAGACGGCATATATAACTTGTCAGTGAATTATGAGGGCAAAAAATAAGTAAAATAATTGTTCAATAATTGTAATCGAGTTAATATGTTCATTTAATTGAGATTGTGATTTTTAGGTCACATCACCCAGCTCTAGGATGTGGAGAATTGAAAACGATAGTGTGGACATGAACTGTTTTCAATTTTATCTTCATTAGTGTAGACTTAGCCTTAATACTAAACGAGTTCTTGTCGTTTTTTATTATAGATTCTTGGCCAGAGACAGAAATCCAACACAAAAAAAAGAAGAAGAGGGGGAAGAGGAACCGCTCAAGCCGCCTAGTAAAAACCACAACACCTGTGATCAAGGAAGTGAGTGAGCATGTGTGGGTTTGTGTGTGGGTCCCATACGCCGTGATGTTTCTGACCCACCGCCTTATAAAAGGGCTCTTTGATGCCGAGGCAGGCCTACTTTAGCATGGCAGAGCTTTAGGTGTGTGTGTGTGTGTGTGAGATTAGGAGGTAGAGGGTGTACTTTAACCCATTTAGTACTGGGCGCTTGCCAGATTTACTAGCTTAGTCAACTAATCCCTTTCCGCCTGCCCTTTTTCTTACCAACAAGTGTCTCTACTTGTGTCTTTGTATGTGTGTGTTTTTGTGTACTTGTGTTTTGGTGAGCTTCTGTAAAAAAGGGATGAGAGGGAATTGGGAGCGGTGTTCACCTCCATTGATTGTTTCCTGGCTGTAAAACATGTTGACGGGTTCCCTGATGGGATTTGAAACAGACCTGTAAGTTTAACAGGACAGAAGCTGACTCAGCTCTCGTTCTGTAATGTCCTTGTATTTTCTTTTTTACCTCATGGCTGAAGTTTTGGAGCTTTGGAGGGGACTTCCATGTTGTTCTTAGCCACATTTATAAAATAACCCTGCGAGGGCTAGGTTACATTTAAAACAGCTGCCGATTTACTTGTAACAACTGCTGTAAAGATTTTAAGGAACGCTTGGTGGATTAAAACCCCAGTATTTCTAATAATTTACTCATTTGAATATACAGTAGAAATGAAAAATGAAAATGTAGAAACAAATATCCAAATACTGAAGCCTACATGTTTAGTAGTGCAACACGCGCACACACATAAGCATGCGGTCAGCATTCGGTCTCATTCGCACACTGAGACGAGCAGAGGAGCGCAGACATCTAAAGTAATCTTAACGTGAGCGCTTTAATGGTCAAATAGGTGTCAAAACGCGGTGATTAGTGATTATTCCTATTAACCCTCATTTACGTAATAAACAAACGAGTTGAGAATCAAAAGACACGTGAAAGAGAAACCATTAAAGAGACAAAATGCTGGTGCCTGTTATATCATTAATCAAACGATGAGAAAATTCCTCGCTGCTCTTGACTGAAGGATTTTTGTAGCTAAAGTGTTTTTCTTAGGGTGAAGATGCTTAAATCACAGTTTATTTCATATTTTTATTCTATTGTATTAATTTCTCTTTCCTTTGCAGGGTGGAAAATAACTGTATATATACAGTTGTAGTCAGAATTATTAGCCCTCCTGAATATTAGCAACCCTTTTCCTCTAATTTCTGTTTAATGGAAAGAATTATTTTTTTTACATATTTCTGAACATAATAGTTTTGATATATCATGTTTAATTACTGATTTGTTTTATCTTTGCTATGTTGACAGCACATAACATTTTACTAGATGTTTTTCAAAATACAAGCATTCAAATTAAAGTGCAATTCAAAGGCTTAATTAGTGTAATTAGGCAAGTCATTGTATAACAGTGTTCTTCTGCAGACAATCAAAAAATATATTGCTTAAGGGGGCTAATAATATTGACCTTTAAATGGGTTTCAAAATATTTAAACTTGCTTTTATTCTAGCTAAAATAAAACAAATAATACTTTCTCCAGAAGAAAAAAAATATTAGAGGAAATACCTTTAAAATTCCTTGCTCTGTTTAACATAATTTGGGAAATAGTTATTTAAAAAAGCAAAATTCTCAGGTGGGCTAATAATTTTGACTTCAACTGATAATTGTTTTGAATAATCGTAATTAAAATTATGACCAAAATAATCGTGATTATGATTTTTTTCTAAAATCGAGCAGCCCTACTTTGCAGCCAATCACAGTAGTTTCTTAAAGAAACACAGCTGATTGGCTGCTCAGTGTTGTTCAAATGTTAGCTGGAAATGGATGTTTTTAAAGGTTCATTATCGATTGGTACGGAACTCAATATTTTGACAACACTTCAAACTGCAATTGACAGTTATGTCCTGTAAGGTAGTAATAAATAACTTTGCCATGAGTGTGTTGAGGCCTTTAGAACCCACCTCCATTTCCTCACAGTAATGTAGCCTACTTTGCTGACATTTCCCAGCATTAAATCATCCTGCAAGAAACTCAATGTTATGCTTTTGACGCCCACCATTCCCACCTTTCTTCATAGTACTCTATGCGCTAGACTGTACTTTTAACTGTGATTAAGAAAGCTAATGGAGTGTTGTGTTTTTTTATCTCGTTCCATCTGAACTTTAATGGCAGTGCTGCATTTGAAGTGGTTTGGCGTGATGGTGTATGCATATGCTGGAGTCTTGCTTTGCTTGCTGAAGGCTGGATGCATTCTGTCTGAGCCGAAGCTCTGTCACTTTGCCTTACAGCTCAGCGTTATAGAAACCGGGTCAAACCACTCGCTCTCCTTCACCCTCCCCGCTCTTCTTCTTTCTCCTCCACCAGGGCAAAATGTCTGTGAATAATCTGCTGAGATTTATAATTAACCACAGATGAATTTAGCACAGAAATCTGCAGGAAGAATGGCTTTGTTTAGATTAAAAAGGGGGTTACTCTCCATTTTAAATACGTTTTAGAATCACAAGGAGTTGCAGATATTAGAAGAATTGTCGCTGAGAGATTAAAATGGTAATTGATCTTTGTTGGGATAAAAACATCAATATTTTGAGGGTTTATAAATGTAGAGAGGAAAGATGAAGGTTTTCAGGGATTGTTAATATAAATGTTGGTGTCTTTCTGACACGAATCTTCATGCGATTTTTAAAGCCTATCACATTTTCAATTTGGAGTGTTATAAATGTATTGAAAAGATTATTCAACATTTCTCCTTTTGTGATTCATTAAAGAAAGTCATTCAAAACGGTTTGAAACTGATGTAAATGTTGATTCCTGTAGAAGCATTATAATTGTGTTGGATTTTCCACTGGTGGTAGCTTACATTTGTGTTATGGCTGATGCTTTGAATGTTGTGGCTGCTTGTGATATCACTATTGTGTTCATGAGAGACTTGTCAGTTCTACAACAGTTAATAGAAAGACCGTGTCAAACAACAAATGCGATGATTGAGTGTCAGATGCCTATAATAACCATAGCTAACATTACTGGCATTTATAAACAGCCCTGTCAAATGCGCTTTAGATTTGATTAAGATATGACTGTAGTGTTTTCCAGAGCCTGTGTTATTTAGATACTATTATAGTATTTATTAACATTTTAAATTAACATTTATTTGAATATGCTCAGTTTGTCTTTGTACTTTGCATTTTGTCATGTATTTGTAGCACTTTTAGGGTTGCATGGTACTTTAATTTGGTGCCAGTTGATGCTGAAATTTTAAAAATATCCAATTCCCTCTATAATTTAAGCGCTATTGAGCACATTCTTAAATTCGCTGCACACACACACACACACAGCTGTGGCATGCAGTCTCATTCGCGCTTTTTAAAACATAATTGGAAGGTACATCAATGAACGATTCGCATCCTGTGCTGCACACGTTGCATACAGTACATGCTTTTAGTCATTTTCATGTGAAACTGAGCTTTGCAGAGCAACAAATGTGTATAACTGGAAAGGGGCGGTATATGATGGAATAATCATTTATTTTGATTAATGATTTTCGTAATCGTTAGAAGCCAAAAGCGAAATTAAATTTTCCATTAATTGCACAGCCCTACTGTTTAATAACATGCTCAGTAGCGCTCAAATGTTAGCGGTAAATGGACTTTTTAAAACTTCAGTATCGATTGGTACCGAGTTTAAGTATCGTGCAACTCTACTATGCAACTAATCAAATTAAAACTAGTTTTTACTAAAGATGCAGTAAAACAAATCAAAACGACAAGTGCAGACACTGAAAATATTCAAACAAAGCTCAATTCAAAATGTTAAAGGGCCATGAAACCCCCTCGGTTCAGCAGGGTGTTCACACCTCGACTTTGGAAAAAAGCCAGAAAAATGGGCGTGTCCAACTCTGTTTAAAGGGGAGTGTCGGAGGAGCAAAAGAGGGATAGTGTGGGAGTGTCGATTTGACCACGCGCTGAGTTTCAGAGTCAAAAAACACACGCACACACACAAACACGCACACACAGGGGAGAACGTGAGTCCATGTTTACATGGACATCTGTAATTGAATTATTTGCCAAATTATTAAATGGTGGACTTTAACTGCAGTTTGGCACTTTTATTCAGGGAATTCATCCCTGTCCCTCGTGACAAACGAGATATTTGATTCGAGGAACTGCTCTAAGCGTGTATTTTTCATGCAATGTTTGATACCGCACGGCGAATGAGAGAAAAAAACCCTCCGCATTTCCCGGAAACTTAGATGCACACGGCAGGTAGCGCAAGAAAGCCGCGTGTGTTATTCCGGTCACAAAATGCAGTGAAAATCCTACACAAGGTTAAAGTTTGGTTGTGGTGCTAACATGTTTACACTCGGTGCAATAGTTTGTTTGATACGAACAAACTAAATATACAAAGAGCACTGGTCGCTCACTTACCAAATCTATAGAGACAGGAAAATCACCAGCAACTAGAGCCACATCTTTATTAAGAGAATACTACAAGCGAATCAGGATCTCAGCGTTTGCAGATGAGAACAGCTCTCAGGTAAACAATAATCCTCCTTAGACATGTAAGTTATTGTTGTCGAGCGTCGCGTGCACTGTTAATCCATACGTGACTCCAGCTCCGCTCTCACAGAGAGAAAATGAAAACAAAACTTAACAGCAGCAAACTAACAAGGCAACACTTCACGCTTGTTTTGCCAAGTTGCACAATAGAGCGCGCTGATTGGTTTGAACCAACCCTTACTCATGCATTAATGCATCACACTGTAAGACGTAATAAGACACACTCTGGCACAGACGTCCAGTCTGCACGCTGGAATACAGGCTATTATGTCAAAGCCGTGACGCAGCGTCAAAAATTTGTTTCAAACAGGAAGTACGAATTTGCTTGAAATAACGCAAAAACAACCAATTTACACTTTTTAGTGAAATATAGGTGTCCTAATAGTGTTTTTTTTTTTAGCAGTGTGGAACACATATACGACTCTCAACAGCT